CTATCTATCTATCTATCTATCTATCTATCTATCTATCTATCTATCTATCTATCTATCTATCTATCTATCTATCTATCTATCTATCTATCCATTTGTAATGCTGCCGCTGCTTCATGCTGAATAAGCCCAAACAAGCGTGTCTGATGAGGTGAGTGGTTGATCATTCAACTATTGCTTGAAACTCACTACCGTCGAAAACATTTTTTAAAAACCAACAAATTCCCCCACCCCCCCACCTTCAACCACCCAATAAAAAAGTCCTAACCCGCTATCAGGACCCATTAGAGTACTTATTTTCATCATTGGGCCTGTGTGAATATTTCTAAACCATTATCCGATGCACTTTACGATTAGTCTCGGTACAAAACGATCGTTAAGCACTGCGGCGAAAACAATTAATGGTGTGGTGTGGTGGCAGGGTAGAGTGGGTGCACCAACCCGCACCGAGACAAAACAGGCGGCTGGTTCATGAGACAGCAGCAAAACGAATGGAAAAATAAAAGTTATCCTACAATCTCCAAAACGAAACGGGTGGTTGGAAGGCGTAGTTGGTAGACGCTACTTCTTTACCTGCCAGACAGTATTTCTGTCTGTCTGTCTTACTTTTCCCCAGCTCTAAATGACCGTTATTGTGTCGACGTGCTTCTTTTTTTATCAAACAAAACAAATAAACAAACAAAGAGAAACTTTCCTTAAAACGTTTTACCTCTTCGAGGATGCGCATTCTGGTTCTTCAACAACGCTCGAAATGCATTGTTTTTGGGCACTTTTTTAAAGTGACGCGTTATTTTAAAGTATTTAAAAAAAGAAGCATAACTTTGTTTTGCAAAATTGCAATGCCGATTTTGTAATTCTACTGTTATGTTATGCTGAAATTTGAAAAGGCTGGCTACAACTACAGCATGCATATAGTAAAATATGCAAATTTGTGCTGCTTGTTTGTGTATGATGGTTTGAAATGCGCAGTAACATAGCTTTTCTTTATTTTGATAAGAATTTTACGGCTCTTGACATGGCCTCTGTTTGTTTTAGTAAAAGTCGTAAGCTCTTACCATGACATTTATTGTTTGTTTTAGTATAGGGTTTACGTCACTTAACAGGACCTTTGTTTGTTTTAGTAAAACGTTTTACCGGGCTTAAACTGGCCTTTGTTTTAGCGTACATGTGGGGTCCATTACTTTTTTTTAAAGAGTTAAGTATTCCACCAACACAATAAAGGGTGTCCGATCAGCACCAGACAAGGGTCAAAATAGATTTCTGAATTTATATTTTACGTAAATGCCTTTCTGAGTCAACTACCACCAAACAAGTTTTAGCCTACAGTCAATGATAATTAATTTTCTCAAAGTAGTGCGGAATTTACATTTCGCTTTCTCGGTTAATACCTTTATTTTTCTGCTCTTGTATTACCTGTAATGTCTAATAGGATTATCAGAAATATAATTTGCTAGGAAACACATTTCTTACTGAGAAACATAGCATAACCATGCTTTGTCTCGATTCCAAAATAGAAGTTTGTTTTTGAAGAACGGTCTTTGTTTAGTTGTTGAATCACTCCTAACGTGCCTTTTAATTCGACGTTACCATCTGCATGCTTTTATGTGTTTTTAAATTAAGTTGTCTATATTCCCCCAATCAACTCATTTTAGATTATTAAGGCCATCAGCTGGTGAAATTTCTAAAATCCATATTCCTTGACTTTATATAGCAACGATTATATATTCATATTAGTAAGACATCAAAAAATAAATTCAAGAAATTATTTATTATTTTAAGCATATGGTAACAATGGTAACCAAGCAAACATCCGCCATGTTGAATAGTTTCATCAAAAGTGGGTGGCGAGCTTCTGACCCTGCGTGTCAGGGCCAACCCCTACAGAAAGACCAAGATAATTCATAAGGATTTCTTCCCACTCGGGAATCGACTTCAGGTCTTCTGAGTGCAATAACTAAACGAAAAAACCGCTTCACCAAAGACGCCAGTACTTTCACGTTTCATAAAGGATCATTTCTTGTCTCTTTTCCAAAATAATAGTTGCTTACCATACAGTAAAGAACAGTCGTTGCCTACGTCATCCCCTCTGCTCAGTATTGACGCAAAAACGCCC